ATATGACTTCTGTTTGCAAGATTTTGGGGTGTATTAAAAAAAAAGTACACTTTGAACTGTGTTTGGCGGTGAATCACGTTGGAGGTGAGGGAGGTGGCAACGCCTCTATGTGCAACTATCATGCTTATTTCTGGGCATAGTGTTGCTGTTGAGGACAGACTGTTAATAGGACAAGTGTTCAGGGAATAGCAGCAGAAGCAATTGTAGTGGGGGGCAGAGGTGATCTTGGCTGAGACTCTGGGCTAACCTGCTTTGCATTTACCAGCAAGCAAAGGGTGTTTATCTGTGCAGTTATTGCAGAGTAGCTGGTGTCCTATAAATCCACACCCTTGAATGCCTCACTGTAACATGTTCACAAGGCCATACCCTCAAGCACAAAGCTAACTTTAAATGTATGATTCAGAATCATTAAGACAACGGGACAACTTGTACACCTTATATCAGACACCAAGTTTACACACCTAGCTGAAGATGGGCCAAGTAAGGGAGAGAAATGACTTAATATATATCCTAAGAAATGAGATGTATCATGGAAAGGGAAGAGACAGATTAAAAGGCAGGAAAAACATGTGGCAATCTCACCTTTGTAGCATGTCATATTTTCCAGACCTGTTATGCATACTAGTGTATGAAATAATTTCCTGAAATTGGTGGGAGATGTCCCATCACTTCTGATTTTTAACACCAGAGTGGACTGATTGACAGAGGTAGTTTGTGAAATATGAAGGGTTTTAGTCAGTTTGTGTTGCTAAACAAGTATGAAAAAAATGTAGATAGAACCATGGGTTTATTTTTGTTTACATTAATACTGTTCTGTCTTGTCCTTGATATATGGAATTGTTGCTTTTCTGAGTCCTTGACTAAGCCTTGGGAAAAGAGAGCATTCTGTATTGCTTTCATAGTAATAATACTTGTACTTCACTGTGTCACTACTGTTCCATGAAAGCAAAGGATAATTTTTACTGTCTTTTCTTCAGGCAGAAGAACAGAGGGAGTGAAGATGTCAAAGGAGTAAGACCAAGACAAAGGGACTTAAAACCAGGTAAGAATTGAGGCAGAAGCAGTGAAGTCTTTAACAGACTGGTTTGTGTAACAACCTTTCCAGCCTGGAAGAATGATACTTTAGAGGCAATATGATAGATGGCTGTAAAGATCTGGATCGCTTGGAGAGTTTGGGTAGGAACTGGCCATTCTCTGTCAAGCAAGAGCTAGGAACACTGAATGAAGCAGGAAGGATGAGGTGATTCTTCTTGCATCAGGGACTCAATCTGTGCATTGTGACATAGCACATATCTACAGTTTACACGTGCTGATGGAGGAGACAGCGCAAGTCTTGGGACATAATCCATTGAGGATCACTAAATAGCCAGAAACCACATCCTGATCAGAAAGTCCCTTAAGCTGAAAACAGTGAGAGGATGGAGAGTATGTAGAGGAAGTAGCATACAATGCCCATGTCTCCTTAAGCATCTGCGTATGACCACTGTTGTCCTACAGCCACTGTGTGGCCATTTTTTGTCCTCATGCACAAAGAAGATAAGAGGACTTTCAAGACAAGAGGAAATGGCCTCAAGTTGCACCAGGGGAGGTTTAGACTAGATATTAGGAAAAAAACTTTCATGGAAAGGATTGTAAAGCATTGGAAGAGACTTCACAGTGAAGTGGTACAATCACTGTCCTTGGCAGTGTTCAAGAACCATGTGGCTAATGACACTTGAAGACATGGTTTAATGGTGAACATAGTGGTGGTACTGGACTGACAATTTGGACTTGATGATCTTAAAGGTCTTTTCCAACCTTAACAATTCTATGATTCTGTGAGAATATAAACTGTGAAAAATCTATAGTTAGAAACCTTTCCAAACTGGCTTCTCTTGAGTAGGAACAACCAGTAGTGAGATGGTCCTGCCCTCAGGTGTCCACTCCACTCTCTTGGATATACTTGACTCCATGACAGAACAATCCACACATGAGCAAGTCTATCCATGTGATAGAACCTACACTTCACAAGAGTTTGAATTTTATGATTTTTGAAGAGGCCCTGAGGGTGCTTTGGGAGAAGGTTAAAAATAGGCTGTCAGAAGGCAAGTGTCTTTGGTGTACCTGTTGCCCAGCTAAGTTCCTTTTAATAAAACTTCTTTCGCACTGTTGTGTTTTGCTTGTAATATCTGTGTCAGGGCTTCTAGAGCTTTGAATAAGTATCTTTCATTACCTTAAGTATAAATAAATGAATATAATCATATGAGGATAATATGAGAGCAGATCAAGGACAGATCAAGCAGAGGTAGGCAAGTATAAATGGAAGCTCTCATGCGGAAAAAGTGGACAGGGTGAAAGAGAGAGACATAATATGACAGTCAATATGAGAACAATTATTGCCTAGTAGTAGAAAGGCCTCTGCTGAAGGGTAAAGACAGAACATGAGGATCTGGCAAATCTCTGAGGGAAAGATGCTGCCTTTGTCCAGTAAGAAGTCAAAGTGATACCAGTGTAGTTACAATATGGTCTGCACAAGCAGAAATAACTCTGATTTAACGTAATATCCTACCTCACACCTCCTGTCACTTTTCCCAGGCCTTTTTTTTTTTTTTAAACTACAGAGTTTCAGGGTTCTTTGAGCATATCCCTGTGACCTTGCAGAATAAATGGGAAAAATGCCCACTCAGCTTGTAATTGGATAAATTGAAGGTAAATGTTTACCATGCTCACCTAGGTTATTGGTCAAAGCCTTGCAGGCTGAGGACTTCTTACCCTCCAGGCAATACACTGTCATGCCTGTGGTCTATCTCTGCCCGGGGATTTTCCAGCCGACTATGACTATGAATCAAATCGAAGGGGATTTAGCAACTCCTTCATACCAAAATTATTAAATTTAAATTTTTGCTTGATGTTTATGAACCATTCCAAGTCACCATTCCTGTGCATCAGGTGACTGCTGTTTTGTGCTATATGATACCTTTTGAAAACAAAGAAATACAGCTCTTTTCTGTGTAAAAGATACCTACATTCAGAACTGTTACTGACTTTCTGGTTAATACTGTACTAGTTATTAATTTTCTTTTTGAAGAAAATATAGATACAAAATAAATTCTGTCTTGGACATAAAGCAACTTGCACTTGTCTCTGTCTTGAAACCAAGGCATGAGCCCCAGATTTACCCATATTGAATGGATTTGGTAAACCTGAGTTCTGAATTTGCATGACACCTTTGGGGCCAAGGCCCATGTATATCATATTTTGTGAGGAAGTAGAGACAGGGAGAGTAGAAAATAGCTGTTATTCATAAGATGTGCTTTTTCTCAACGAAACATAATGATTTTTAGAGTGTGAACAAAATGAGCAGACTTAGCAGTAGGATTGAGCACATTGGCTCTGGAGGTCTGGTAGGTCAGTGATCCGTGAGGTAGGAAGGATTTGTTCAATAGACCAGAACAGCTCAGTTGGGACCATTAAAGGACTTAGGAGTCAAAAATCCATGTTTTCAATCCCTATGTCTGTTCAAACAGGTAACCAGTCCATTCTAGCCCATTCCCCTTCTCCCCTTAAAACTCATTGCACTTATCAAAGTATGTATAGCATTGATCAGAGAGACTGTGGCAGGTTTTGGAAACCACACTGCCTTATATGTGGGTAAGAAGCTTTAAGAAAGGTCAAGAGTTATTTCCCAACCCTAAGTGTTTACACGATAGATGCTAATCTAATCTGTCTAGACCATAACGCCCTTAACAGACAGAAAAAAAACTGGTGTAAGTGAACTCCCAGATAAGTCTCTGTACCAGGTCTGATTTAAAGGGACAACACATGTCTCTTACGAGGACTTGTGGCCTCTTGTCTGCTCCCTGCTAGCATCTGAGGGTCCCCTCCTAGAAAGTGGCCGGTGAATTCTCCTGAGGTCTGCACCGTTGGTTGAATGTTAATCCTCGTTAACAGCACTGCCTTGACATCCCTGGAAACCAAGCATTTTCCACAGAGTACAGCTTCCCTTCTGTGCCCTGCTGGTGTACTTTGACCCCAAGATGAAGTGATCACTTCTAGGAATAAGATAGCTGTTTAGTGTCCATCTGTGCTTGGTCCTTCTTCTCACACCAGCCATAGGGGTAACTGCAGGGGAGATATGTGGAGACCAGGACATGGGTGGAAACCTCAGACCACCAGCCATAAAGCACATGACAGGCCATATTAGTTATTACTTGAGAGGTGCCTAGACCAGTTAAGCACCTCTAGAGAAGGGCCAAACACTTTTATTTCCCACTGGTCACTGTTGGAACAGCTTATGGGACTGACTGTGGCTGTGGTCCTTCCTGGGGTGGTCACTAGTAGGTTAGCTGTTCTTCCTTCCAGATCAGAGACCTATAACTGACTGAAAGCTTATTCAGAAGACTAAATCAGACTTGATTTTAAGACTTCAGAGGATTCCTCAGTTTTCTTAATTCCCCAATGAATCGCTTTACCTACTTCAGAAAAAGCAAAAGATCTGCATCTAAGGACCAATTGTTATTTTAAAGCTATTGAAGCTATTGTTATTAGAAGAGGAACTTGATTGCTCCTTTTAAAAAATCAAGACAATGATATGGTAAATATTTCTGTACCTAAATATCCCATTACCTATACTCAAAGGCATGACAAATAATGATTTGTTCAGTACCCTACAATCCCTACCTAGCCACAATGTGGTAAAATAAAGCATTTAAGGGCAGCCTTTCCTTTGAATTCACTTGCAAAGGACCACAGCATTTTAGATCATAAGATTTTTCTCTTTGAGTCACAGTGTAGTACTACATACTTGCTTAGTCTTCATGAATGCTTTGCTCTCATTTCACTAAATGTTAATTTGCATGAGATAGTTGTGGCTTTAAAGAGACAGCAGTAGCGCTCTGTGTCTACCAATCTAATTTCCTTGCATCTGAAAACAATCACAGCGTTCTGGAGAACATCCTTGACATCTCTGTTTTGACAGGAGGTACACTCATTTCTAAGTGAATACACAAAAAATAAAGATGTTAGTCATATTTTATTATGTTCACACAAGTGGCACTTAAAGAATGCAGTCCAAATACATTATTCTTCAGATTGTGTACATTTTTAACTTTCCTGAGGAAAGCATACCTTAATTAGCCAGCTGCAATCCAAATTATAGTTTCTCATTTGTTAAAGCTGTTAAAATACCTTAAATCAGCTGCATATGTCTGAAATAATAATGAAAATAACTGCATTAGCAAAACTTATCTGAATGCAAGAGGGCTATAAATAGATAGGAGGTGAATTGGACAGTCGGCAGATTCTGAGTTGGAATAAAAACATCTTACTTAAGCCAAAAACATGGCAACCAATATTTTCTGTTATAAAAATATTTGAGATGAATTTAGTTTTTATGAAAGCTGTCAGAAGCTGAAATGAATAGCAGAAGTTCCCTGTTTATTTACAGGCCAATGCTAATACCTGAAGAGTAAAGCAAGGCACCTTACGAGCAATGACATCAAACCTTTGATTGTATTCAAAAATCCTCTTTGCCAGGGGATGAGAATGACTTGTATGCTCATGCTCTCTTGGAGTAACCTCTGCCTTGATAACGCTTGTCATTTGAGCAAATGGTATGACAGGTCTGTGAAGTGGATTACTGCTGTCCACTAGAGGCTGTAATGAGACCAACAATGTCATTTTATGACAGATTGGAGACTTGGACTGTAACGATCAATAATTGCGAAATTACTTTTCATGCTCAATACATTGTCAATCCCTGGATTTCCCTGAATATGAATGTTTAACAAAAAAATAATTCCAACCTCTTATTCTTTCATTTTCCGTAAGTACTATTAATGGTATAAAGTGTGCAGTGTAGATGACACACTACAACTAGTCAATTGAAACATAGTTTCTTCTACACAGTGTGCATCTTGCATGTAAAATTGTTTAATGTCTTTTGGTAAATACCGTATTCCACTGGGGGTCATATCAGTTTCAGCATATCACCAGCAGTAAATAAAAATGCTCGAGTTGATGTGGGTTCTTGTGTCCCACTCACTGCTTTCATCAGCACCTCCACATTTTGTGGAATTCTCTGTGGAGGGAATATATTGAGGCCCAGTGTAGGCCCTCAGCAGGGGAGATGCAGAGGCACAAGGACATCTTATGACACAGTTGTATGTCCCATAGGTCAGTCAATGTTTGCAGAGGCATAGTACCCTCATCCCTCACCTGTTATATATCAAGTCAAAAAGGAGCTGAGAATGGCTTATTCACCTGACGTGGCTGGTGGCGGTTGTGGCACTTTCCAGAGCCAATGGGCTAAGGCTGCCTGCTGGCTCAGGAAAACTATTGCTTTGACTTACAGTGGACCTACATTTTGGGAATCTATTTACTACTCTGAAGCAGAAACACAGACAAAGATGTAAAAGCCTAGAGCCTGGACTGTGGCAAAAAATGAGGGTCCTGAGGCAAACACCATGGCCACAGAGTGGAGGAACACACAAGCCTCTTACATGAGCCTGCTGCAGAAGGGAAAGTTGCCCAAAGCTTGCTTCAGCATGAATGTGGCTTCTCTTTCTCTGCGTGTGCCACACCTCTTGGCAAGGTGAACGTTTGAGAAGGAAAGATTCCTTTCTCCTGAGGTAACACTCTGTACTACTGGAATAAAAAAGGTGGCAGACAGGAGAATGCCGTGTACTCAGAACTGAACCTTGATGATAGGTTTGAATTTCTCCAGGGCTTTCACTTGATTTTCAGTAATCTCCAGTCTTTGTCTCTCTCCCTTGGTTCCTTTTATTAAATCAATGAACCTTACATTAGCTGGGTGAATATAATTTTGCCATCTGCTTTGCTGCTGTAGATTCACTGTCTTGTAGTGCTGAGTGGCACGTTTGTCCAGACATCTTAGCCTGTTGCTTCTTCTGTCCCCAGACCACTCCTAGAGCAGAATATCCTGCTGGTTTTCATAGTGAACCTGAACTAAAGATGCAGAAGGTGCTGTAGTAAAAGATCCTTACATTTCATAAAGCTAGTCTGTATTACAATATCAACTGTAAAGCAAGAGCACTGCATTTACAATGTTATTACTATGTTCTTTAGCAATTACGGTGACTAGTACAGTCATTTATAGAAAGGACTACTTTGCTGATCTGCACAGTGACAGGCTGAGTCCTAGGGTACTTTGCATCTAGACTCTAATGCTAGATTTAATGCTAAAACCTAATGCTAGTAGATAATGGACACATAGGAGGTATACCTGCACTAGAAACCAGGTAGCTTGGAGCATACTGTTGTGGTAAATTCATACAAGCTGCAATAAATGGCCTGGTCGGGATGGCCATGTCACATGGAGTGCACATCTCAGGCCTTTCTGAGGCCTGTGACCGCACAGCATCCAGCTCCATGGAAGCTGAACAGCCTTTGGTATTTATACAACACTTTTTGCAATGTCCTTGGGGTGGGGAGAAGCCTTCTCTGTGCTCTACTACTTTTTCTGATGCCAAATCAGTGACTGGCTTCTTATGTACCACTGTCAGGTTGCATGCAAGTATAGCAGCCTGCTGTCCTTTCCTTACTCTGGGCTGCATTCATTGCTTCCATAAGTTGTTTTTTTTCTCTAAGTTGTACCTCCCTTAATAAGTTGAGTTTGTTTTTTTTTTCCACTTGAATAGCAGACTGAGACAGTCCAGAAGGAGGGTATTTTCTCTGGTCTCTGTTATGCATCTGTGCTTGTTACTTGCCCATCACTGCAGTTTATGGCACTTGCAGAGCAGAGACCTGTGTTGAGAGAAGTAAGAGAGTAACAAGCTGCGCTGGAGTGCCAGGGAAGTGTAAGTTGCCATAGTGGGCGGGGGGAGAGGCTCATAGTGGTCTGCATACAGCTGGGAGAGATGCGAAGAGATCTTTGATAAAACCAGTGCTGAGGAATCCAGAGGGAGTCAGTACCCAAACATGCGTGGTTCAGCCCTGCCTGTCTTGTAGTTCAGTGACGGTATGAGTCAGAGCCTCTTTGGTCTGAATGAAGTGGAAGGTACTTTCTACAAAGCAACTCAAGCATATGCCAAGGATCCAGATAAATAAAACTAATTCAGAAAAAGGGAGTGGGATGCAGGCTCTTGCTCTAAATCACTTCACAGTTCTCCACAGCGAAATGCAATATGGCATCTTAAATAAAATCACCCTCTTCTGACTCTCGCAGAGGCTGCTTCAGAGCATTCCCTGGCTTCCAGCACAGTTTTATTTCCTCCCTTAGAGAGACAGACCAGCCTTGACTGAGCAACCGATTTTCATGCATCCTTTAAACCAGCATTCCCTGCCATTTCTGAAGGACAGCACGCGTCGCTAGCTGCCTGTTTCTTCCCCCTTAAACAATATAGGTTTGGGGTTGGTTTTTTTTTTGGTGTGGTGTTGTTTTTTTTTTTTCCCCTCCCCATCTCATTTCTTTCCGCCTGCAAAGTGGTTTGAGATCCGCGCAACGCAGCCTGCCACAGGAGCGGGGACTTCTCGGGAACACTGGTGTGCGCAGGGTTTAAGCCCACCGTAGAAAGCCAGCCTGGCCTTTGAAGTGTTACAAGGGGAAGGAGGAGGTAAGTGTCGAGACGAGCCCCCCAGCCCCCTTCCCCGCCCCCGGGCAGCGTGCGGCGGCCCCGCAAAGGGTTAAGGCCGCCTTGGCCCGGCGGTGCCGTGCGTATGCAATAATCTGTGTGGCTCTCTTGGCCGCCTGCCAGAGTGTTGCCTTGCCTCCTCCTCCTCCTCCTCCACCTCCTCCTCCCTTCTCCCCCCTCCCCCCCCCCCCGCCTTTTGCATGAAGTAGGATCCTTGAGCTGTTGCAGAGGCAGCCAACTGCTCCATATTTGGCTTCTATTACCCATTTACATGCTGGAGAGAGGAGAGGGAGCGAGCGCTGTACCGCAGACATCATTTCTACTACAGCGGTGGAGACATCCCGGACCTGTGTCACTGCAGGGGGAAGAAAAAAAGCCAAACAAACAAAAAAGCAGACCCACCCCCCGTGATCAGCTAGGAAGACATTTGTGTGCGAGTCTCTCTCTGACCCCCCCACCCCCGCCAACCCCACCTCCACTGACACTTTACAGTAAGTGGCTTTTTCTTCCTCCTCTGCTTTCTGCCTCCCTCCCCCACCCCCTACCCCCGGCTTCTTCCCTTGTTTAGGCTGCAAACCTCCGTCGATTTCCAGCTGGAAAAACACGGGGCTGGGGGTGGGGGGGGAAGGGGAGCGCAGTGTCCACCCTGCCGCGGGGCTGCAGCCGCCTCACTGCGGCCGCCCCCGGCCTGGCCCGCAGGCGCTGCCGCCGCGGGCCCGGCCTTGGGGAGAGAGGGAGGGAGCGAGGGAGAGGGGGCGGCCGCGAAATGACCGAGGGCGCCGCGGAGGAAGCGGAGTGGAGATGCGGGGACACGGGAGGGAGCGAGGGGACGGGGCGGCCCCGTAGCGGGAGCCGCTCGTACAGCCCTGCCCCCCCCCCGCGCCGGCTCCTTCCTTCTTCCTCACCCCCCCTCTCCCTCCCTCCCTCCCTCCTGCTTCCCCCCGGCCCGGGCGGGGTGTGGGTGGCCGCGGGGACGGTGGACATTTTGCGAGCCGCGGCTGCCCCCGGTGCGGCGGCGGACTCGGGGTGTGTGAGACTGCGCTGTGAGACTGTGTGTGCGGGGGGGGGGGGGGGTGCTGTGCGTGAGTGTGAGTGTGTGTGTATATATATATAAATATATACGTGCGGGATGCGGTGCATGTGTGCGGTGCCCGTATGCGGGGGTTGCGGTGCGGTGTGTGTGTGTGCGGTGCCGTGCGTGTATTTGTGTGTATGTGTTTGCGGGGGGTGCGATGCGTGTGTGTGTGTGTGTGCGCGGAGGGTGCCGGTACGTGCGGTGCGGTGCAGTGCCGTGTGTGTGAGAGTGCGGGGGGTGCCGTGCCGGTGCGGTGGATGTGTGTGCGCGCGTGTGTGTCAGCGCGGTGCGGGGGGGCCGTGCGGGGCGCGTACGCCGGGCGGACCCGGCGGGGCGCAGCGCGGGGCCGGTCGCCGGCAGGGCCGGTCGCCGCCGCCGCACGGCGTATGTAGTACGGGGCTGGGCGGCTGCCGGAGGGTGAATGAAGCGAGGAGGAGGCGGTGGAGGAGGCGGCGCTGGCGCTGGGATGTGCCCGGCAGCAGCCCCGCTCCACTTCACTCAGGGCCCAGGCCGGCTGCAGACGCCACCCGGTACTGCCGGGAGGGACGGGGCGGGAGGGATGGGGGAAGGGGAGCGCCGGAGGGCCGCCGCCCCGCTGCCCGTCTGCGGCCAGGGGATCCGGCCGGCGGAGCCCCGAGGGGGAGCGGGACCGGGGCTCCCCCCACCGCCGCCGCCGCCCCGGGGCTCAGCTCGGCGCCAGCGGCGGCCGCTGCCCTCCTGCCGCTCACCGATGCCCCGCCACCTCCGGGTTTGCTTGGGTCGGGTGGGGGGTGATTCGGTTGCGGGAGTTTGGGGTTGGTTGGTGGTGGTTCGGCTTTTTTTTTTTTTTTTTTTTTTTTTTTTTAATTATTTTTTAATGTTATTTTTTTTTATTCCTGAGGCATCCTAATTTACTGGCAGAAAAACAAATAAATGACCCCGTGTACGGTTGTGGGTGCTGAATCCGTCAATGCGATTCCTGAGAATATTAAAGTCTAAATTAAAGCGTGCTGGAAAAGCATTAGCTCCTACTGTAATAGTAATAGCTGTAATAATAAAATGACAGAATTGGGAGCGATTTACATATTATTGAAGAGGAGGAATTACTGAAGAGTAATAATAGAAAAGAAAACAAGTCGGAAGCCCGTTATATAATGCACTGTGTAGACAACGAGAGCGACAGGCTATTTTTATTTTGTTTACCGTATGCTGTGTAATAGGGACTCCTCCGAGCAGCATCTCTCCCCCGTGAGCCCAAACTTCAGATAGAATTGGGGAAAAATTTTAAGCATTCCTGTTATGCCCAGACAAAGAAATCCGTGTTTGTAAAACCTTCCTCTTTACAAATGATTTCTGTGTACAGATTGGCAGGGGTGTGCAGGTAGATGACCTTTGCTGGAGACCTTTTCCCTTTCATATGGTAAAGAAATTCATATTTTGTAACACAGCTTACACTTTAACCTTTAACACTCATGGTTATGTATATCATGCAGTAATGGTTACTTTACGCGTCGGATATGGTCAGGAATAGTGAGTTACTGTGCTGACACACCGAGAAGTCAAGGACTTTTAATTTCAGTTTCGAATGAAGCCTTCCCCTAAAGGAAAATCCCGGCTTCGTGTTAATCTATTTCTGTTCTGGGTGATGGAGACGGTGCAATTTTATCATAAGGAGCAAGGGTTATGAATGGGGGAGAGGGAAATTGAGAATGGCCAGTGAAAATATTATGCTGTAGTTATTTTTGTGATGTGAGATAATAGTAGTAACTGTACGTTATTGCACCTAATTTGTTCATAAAACCGGCCCGGTATTTTACAGACAGCAGTTATTTTGAAAGGGTGGCTGTAATCTCACTTTTTACATAAGGCAGAGGTCGATAGGTTTTCCTTCGTGTTCGGCTGTCTGTCTGTCTGTCTCTCTCATCATGTAGCGACATGTCAGCGGTGCAGGCTTTCAGTGTGCTTACTCCAGCCCTGATCAGTCATGTAATTAGATCAGGCTGCCATGGTAACAGACGGGATTCGCCGTATTCACCGTCCAGCCAGGTGTGTGTGTGTGGCTGGCAGGCGACCCAGAGGGCTACCGCCGGCTCTGTGTGTGCCGTGGGCACCGCTTCGGGCTTGCTGAAAATTGAAGGATGCCAGTGGTGGGTTCCTAATGGCTGAACTTCTTGGGAAGAGTGTTCTTTGCCTGCGGTAGTGTCAGGCAGATGGGACCGTACATGGCACGCTTAGCAGGTTAGCCAAATCGTCAGCTCCGCTTGCGTGTATTACTAGCAAATTAACGAAGGTGGGGTACTTTGTAAAAATGCTTTTGGCTTATAAAAGCTTGCATAAAAGTTTCTTCAGAGTTTTCCTTTTTTTTTTTTTTTCCCCCCTCCTGTTTGTCTGGATTAACTGTTTGGTGGCTGTCATGTTGTTTGGAACAGTTCCCATTCCAGCATTCACATTTTAGGCCACAGGTTTGTTATTCTTCACTCGTGTACTGTACTTTACACCCTCTGCCTGGTAAAATGAAAATCAGTGATACTTGATATCACTGTTGTCACTCTAGGTTTGCTAAGCCTTGTCATAGTTCTTAGCAAGGTTTTGTGTTCTAGGTTAAAGCTGACTGCAGTTTCTCTTGATAAAATCCTAAGTATATGCTACTAAAAGCAATTTTCTCCTCAGCAATCACTTCATTTCCAGTAGTAGTATTTCTTTCATTTTAATTTTTTTGTGTTTGTGCTCATCAAAATATTATAGCCACAGAGCAGGAGACTTTTTGCCGCAGTTTATAATACCTTGAAAGAATATGCAAAGAATTAGCTTCAAACTGCATGCTGCTCTTAAAAACATGTTTCATCAAGCAACGTATATTTGTCTTCATTCTCCGTGTTTAAACATCACTCTTTTAAGCCACTTTTCCACAAATGTAGGTATAATTTTTTAAAAGCACCAAATTTGGCACTGTGTTCTAATGTCATAAATCTGGAGCAACTCCAGGGGACGGGATTGTGAGCCACTTACATGGGTGTATATCTAGAATAACTCCGTTTATTGGACTTAATCCAGGCATGTAGTAGAGTAACCAAGCTCAGAAAGTGATCTGGTGCGTATTACTGTTATTTTCTCTATATTACTTTTCATGGCAAAAAGCACTGTGGGCTTAAATAGGATTTTTGCCTGATTAAGAAGCTGCATTAAGTGTCTGTAGAAGTGGGTAACACCCCTATTCCAGTCACTAATCTTGTGTGGACTTACACTAATATTGAACTTGGCCTGGAGGATTTCGTGTTTCAGTGATGAGAAATCATCAGCACCCACAGCTCCTGAGCATTTGTAAGTATCAGACTGGAGCATAAAGCAATCTAGAAATAGCTCTAAAATAGATATTTTAATCTCTCTGGTGCTAAAACATTGGAGCTGAAGGAAGAGGTAATGAGAAATGCCTGTTGGTGGTTCAGCTTTGTGGTAACAGGCAGCTGGTGGTCTTGGGTTTGGTGTGATGAGTTTGCAGGTCGCAGCCTGCTTGCTGAACAGAGGTGTTTCTTCTCAGAGGGACAAGGGGAAAGGGCGTTTGCGGGCAGTTTTCTGCACCCAAAGTGCAGCTTTTCAGTGCCTCAGCTAACTTGCCCTTCTGGTTAGGAGAGAATATCCTCTGCTCGGTGTGTCTGCTTCTGTTTGGGCTTCCATACTGAGGAGGTGGCTTGAAATAGAAGAGCTTGTTAGGAGGACTGGCTGGAGAAAGTGGAATAGTCGCGCGCAGGATGACTCCTGTAGTGTGAGTCTTTGTGTGCCGCATGCTGCTTATACATATTTTATTGTAAGACAAATTACCTGTGTGACTAAGAGTGTTAGAAAGTAATTGCTTTCAAAAAGGCCATATATACATAGTTAAAAGACTTTTTGAAAATAAACAGTGCAACTTTTCTTCTTTGCCTTTCTGACCTGCTTGAATTTATTTAGAAAAGTTGAGAAAAATAGTCTTGTTTTAAAAGACATTTACAAGAGGCCTGGAATTTCACTTAACAACATTTTTTATATAATAGATCCAGTGGCCTAGTTTCCCATTAATTAAGAAAATAGACACTTGGATGCAGTCACCTGAAAATCAACTAAGGATTTCAACGTTAGAATTTAAAAACAATTGTTTTAGTAACATAGCTAGTAAAACAAAATCAAGCCCTATTTTTCCCCTTGCTGAAGCTTAGCAGCACATCTTAGTAAGTGGCAGTCAGGATTATCATCGTCATTGTTCATACAATGCACTTCTTTTGTTTTGGTGTACTAATTGAAGGAGAAATGCAATAAAGAAGTATGGCAGGCTGTAAAGGAAATGCGTGTCAGAATTGCATAGGTGGTCTGAAAGCACTGGTTGGCTGCAAACCTACTCCAGCATGTGAGGCAGCTCACTCTGATGCTGCTTGAGAGAAGTCAGGCTGTGTGACAGCCTCAGCTATAAGCATGCAGGCTGTGAATGATCTGCCTGTTTTGGAGAACCGTACGGGTACGGTGTGTACAATGCAGGGAGTGCAGATAACAGATTTAGTTGTAGTTATCTTCTGAGACTGCTGTAACCAACTCTACGTTAACAGATAAAAACATGATTAGCACAAGAAACAAAAGTATGGCAGGCTTGGTACAGGTAAATATTTCATTGCGAAGAACTGACATGCTATATTCTGATGACTTCAATAACCTAAGCTTTGCAAAGTGAAAATCCTGACCTCATCCTTTCATTTTACTTTTATGCAAGTGTGATAAATAAATAAATAGGTATTTGGATGAAGGCACTGTATTTTGGAGTTTTATTCAGTGTTTCACATTCTTTATATAAGAAAGTTTAAGATTTTTACTCTGTTTTGACTGAGGTGATGCATGACTAATATTTTAAAATGTAAGAAACTTTGTAGACTCCTGACTTTTACAAAAAGACAAAAACCAGATTGATGACCATAATTCCTTTCTGATCTCAGTGCATGTATTGAGAATGTAATTCTTCGTGGGTTTTTTTCCTCATAATACTGTAGTCTGAGGTGGTTGTACAACATGTGCAGATCTGTATGCATTCATTGGTCCCAGTCTGCAAAGTTACTTTAGTACACGTCCCAGTAAGGGTTTTGCTGAATAAGAATTGATTGAAGAACCCATCTAGAGTTAAATATGCATGTAAATCCTTCCATAAATAGGAACTAGTAAGTATGCTCGTAACTGAAACAACAGAAATGCTTCTCAGTGAGGGAGAAATGGTCCCACTAAATCCTTTTATTGTACCAAGAGTGATAAAAATATTTGGTGAGATTCCAAGTGAAAAACCCAAATGTATTTTGTTTAATACGTGATGTCAGCAGAAATTCAGTGCTGGCTCTTTATAATTTCACTGAGCAAAATTACAGAAATTTTTAAAAAAATCACATTGGTAGAGTTTTGCTTTGTTTATATTATTTGGGACTTTGCAGTAGTAGGCATTGACTCTAGCATGCCACCATTAATGACAAAATAGTGTACAAGATAAAGTCACGGTCCAAAAGGTGATTATTTTTCACCTAATAGTAGTAGTTGCAGCAGTGTGTTTTCAGGATGCGGCTGCTTCTCAAATAAAATATGTTCTCTTGGCAGTGAAGGCAGTCATCTCAACTCGCTTATGATTCTTCACCTCATTAAGATCACATTTAGGAAAAGAGCACTCAGTTTGAATAAATGGGCTCTACTCTCTACTGTATGTTCTCTGTCTGCAGGATTAAATCTATAGTTTATTTGTGCTTGAGTAATAGCAAATGCAGCCTCTCTCAGTCTTCACTGGAATGTCTTGGCATGTTGTAAATTGCTTGACTCTTAACTGTGCTTTTGTTTCTTCTTATTTTGGTTTCCATCTCTTCAACTCCTGGATCAACAGTCACATCGTGGGCCAAACCAGATGGGCAAGCAATACAAGCTGTGAATTTATTCTTGACCCTGTAGGACAGTGACGACCTTCATTTTTGTCTTCACCATACAGTTATGCACTGCCAATAAGGTGAGAATGCAATGCTTTTATTTTCCTATAACAAGTATACACTGTCTGCTCTGGGCTTTAAGAAGCGTGCACACCTTCCTGCTGTCTGTGTGATTACCTACCCGGGATACATTTGTACTTCCCTTGCCTGGCAGTAGAGGTCCTTGAGAAACTCTACTCAGAAAAATTCCATTAACTCTAGTGACTCAGTTCAGTGACTTACAGGACAAGTGGGTTCCAGATGAGTGGTTTTATGCTCACCTCAGATCAGAGCACATTGGGTTACTAAAAGATGATAGTATGAACGGAAAAGTTGACAGACTTCGATTTTTGTTGTAAAATGCCATGTGTAAAATGATATAAATCCTTCCTGCACTTTTATGAACATTTTCAGTGGTTCCTGTTGCTTGCCACCTACTTGCCTTTTCCACTGTCCCCAGTTCCTCCTGTGCATTGAACTTTATCTGGCATAAGAATACTTCCTAGGATGACTAGTCACTACTGATGTGTCTAGGTGTCTTTTATTCTGGTTTGAGGAATCTTTTAGATTCTTCTGATTTTGTTCCCTGAAATATCATAGTCAGACAGGTTATAATAGTGCACATATATCAGTCTGCTCACCCTTTCCTCTCTCTCTTCTTCCCATGTGGTTGTGGAGAATACTTCTAAAAAACCAAGTCCCAAGACTCAACAATCGTACTGCCAATAAAAAGAACATAAATTTTTATTTTATTTCTTTAATCTGATTGTCATTAAGCCAGCCTGGTTTTTTGGACCTGTTCTATGATTTTTAAGTGCTTGGGATTGGCAATACTGCTAATGCTTTAAAAAAAAAAAAAGATAAAGGGTCATAATAAAATTGCTTGTGTCTTTAAATGAAAGAAAATTAAATATAGTGATTACTTGCAGAAAATCAAAGATTTTTTTTTTTAATTTACTACCAGAAAACTTAATTACTGTAGCATTTATGTATGTGAGGTTGATCAGAAAGTCTCCATTGCAGAATAACTTTTTAATGTATACAGCATGTCATAGCCAAGTATGCAGCCTATAATTTACATTTTATTGTGGCTGTGGGGAAGGGTGCTGTGTTTTAAAGGGAAGTTGCCTAAGCAAGTACTTATGTGCAAAGACATGTCTGTTATGGTTTACAAATGATCTTGAATGGTGAGGGTAGATTTTAACCACTGTATCTCTTCAGATCAATAAGAATTTCTTGAGAGTGAAAAACCACACAAAGTGCCCTGTGCACTGACACACTTCGTCTTTCTATTTTGGAAGAAAACTGGCTTGGTAGCAGCTATAGTAGTGACTAGCTATTGACTTGGGAGATAGAAGGAAGCTTTTTGTTAAGACATTATCATTTCCACAAAGCTTTTCATTTTTTTTCAGGGTAAGCTTGGGTTGTATGAAAATGTATTTATTTGAAAAAGTGATTACTCAAGGAAAGGCTTGTATTTCTTAATTAGAAAAAATAATAGTTTATAGCGTATTGGTCAAATCCTATGAATAATCAGATTGTGTTACCCACAATGTATTGCTAAGTCACCTTGAATATTTTAGCATCTGGCATTTTCTGCAGTTGCAGAAGAGAGAATATATTAGATGTTAAGCAAACATTTTGGATAAAAAATGTAACCCAGTGAAGTCTGATGCAGAGGCACGACAGGAATATAGTTCTAAACTGCTGTTTTTTCTGTACCAGCTCAACTTGAAGTATAGTGTTGTATTTGGGGATCTTAGATTAGATTTAGTTTAGCTTCTTTTCTTGTTGGACTTTTTAGTCACTGAATTTGGGGTATTTCTGTTGACCTCATTATTTAGTTCTCATCTTCTCTATGGAGCAATCAAAATCAGGCCCACTGTATAACTAAATAAGTGAGATAAAAGTTGTTGAGATAGACACTGCCTGCTTACAAGTGTTCTCTCTCTCACTGGGAGAAACAGGCAGGAGCTCACAGTAGTAACACATGAAAGAAACGTGACCTGGCACCATGCAGTGAGCAGCCACAGGTAAGATTCACAGCTTAAGACAGAATATCTCATACTCAGGCCCGTTGTCTTTGTGGCATTTGCATTTATTTTGGGGTGAAGGTAGTGACAGGTCTGCTCTTGTTTCAGGCAGACCTGAGTTATTACCATGGTGTCTGGCAGAGAGACTGAACATTGGATGCATTTGAACACATCCAAAAATGAGATCTCAGAAACTGTTCTTGAGACCTAATATCCCTACATGTGCGTTCATGGCTTTACTCACCTGAGGATTTGTGTGGCTTTCAGGGAGTAATGTCGCTGCCGTGTGTGAGCTCCAGTGTGCTTACCCTTCCAAATCAAGCAGCAGCATTTTTTCCAGAGCCTGCTAAGCATCTTGCCTGGATAAGAAAATGGGGTTTAGTAAAAATAAAATGAAATAAAAATAAATAGATACAGTTTAGCTTTTTTTTTTTTTAGTTAATTTTAGCCTTCTCTACTGTTATTTGTTTTGTTATTGTCTCTATTGTTATTTGTTCACAGTATGCACTGCCTCCTTCCACGTAGGCAAATGACTCAATGCTTTCTTTTAAACAGTTGTCTTGAGTGGATTTTGCATGATACACTGGACATTTTAACAATTAAAGAGTTCTTTTTAATCTTTTCCACTGTCAAGTCACTTGATATTTATGAATCATATTATAGTGCTGGGTTGAATTTACAGCTGCAGCCCATTTGTAAAAAATTTTTTGGGGCGGAATTTTCAATAAGTGTGTCTGTACACTATCTATTGTAGCTTATTTTGTACATAAGACATAATTTCTGTTTTACGCAGGCTTCTGGCTACTGCTCTCTGTAAACAGACAACAATCTGCCCTTTTAAAATACTTAATAGTGACCACAAAAAGAGCCAATCTGTCTCTATATTACTGTGTGCAATGGTAGCTTTTTGGTTATCATTTCAGTGTCCTTTTATCATAGCTGGTTTTATTTCTTCCCTCTCATGCTCTTTATGAAGGTCTACAGTAGCTGTAGGGTTAAAAGAAGATAGGCAGTGGAGATTTTTAGCATGTAAAGAGCACAGGTGAAATGGAGCTGTGAACTAGGTATAATAGGATAGTAATTAGAAATAATTTTATTTTTTCAAATTGTTTGTTTTGTGCGTGGGTAACTCAAAGGTAAATTAAATGAAATGCTGTGAGTGCAGGCATTGAGATGTGAGGCTTTGTGGTCTCCTCACCTCAGCTGTAACCTTTCATGTTTTTGCTCTGTTGTTCCTTCAGCAGATACTGAAGGTCTGGTGTCTGACTGATAGAAAGTTTCATACACAGTCCGAAGTGTAAATGCAGTTGTGTGTAGTGGTCTGTCTACATAAAAATACAAGACACATGTTCATAATGTGATACAAGCCACAATCTGAGGTTTGATTCACCTTCCACCTTGGTGTTTTAAGAAGGTGTATCAAATGGAATAAGAAACTTGCTGTCCCATGCTCTGCAACTTGTTAGCATTACTTTCAAGGTGTAGGCTTTTGGATGTTAGTGTAAGTATGAGAGAGTTGGAGAGCTTCTGTGTCCTGGGGGCCGAAAAGTGGTGAGGTGACTAGATGTGACATGAAGTTGTGTATACGCCTGAGTCTGTGTGTGTGCCCCCCTCCTGGGCATGGTTTTGGGTATGGTTTTGGGTGAAAGTTAGCCTTCTGTATCAGCGGGTATAGTTTTGGTCAAAAGTTAGCCCCGGTGGCAGCATCTGGATTTAAATGTGTTGACTAAGGGGTTTCTCATAGTGAGACAGTGATAGAGGCAAACCCTAAATTTGATAATTGCTTTTTTATTTTCTCATCAATTACTTATTTAGAACTAGCTGTAAACCTGACTTTAGGATTTTTTGGGTCACTTCTTGCACTGTAAAAAAGTACAAATGTTAAAGTGTTTCTCACTCATATTGGAGTGTGGTTGTGACTGTTACCATATTTTTGTTTGTCACATACCCAAAGGCATGAAGGCCATTGCAGTTTTGTATGTTTAACATTTCTGTGAGGCCAGCTACTTAAAAGAAAGTCTTAACAGGCCTAATCCCTTACTGTGCTCAGATATTTCGTACTTGTGAATATTTTCTTCTTCGTGCAGTTCCTTTTCAGTGCCATGTGTAGCAGTTGAATAGAAAGTGATATTTTCTAATGTATATGATAGTAAAGGCATTTCTTCTTTTCCGTAGCCCCTGAACACATTCCCTTCTTGATACTGTGCTGTATTCATAGCTTTTCCAAAGTAGTCTGACAACAAGCAGATCCAGAATGGTTTGAAAATTCACTGTATACAAGAGAAAAAAAAAATCCTAGTAGGTTATTACAGTACAAGAAGTTGTAACTTTATTCTCCATGTACCACTAGCTGTTAGAAACCCCTTGGCACTAATCATATGTACTGCATTTTTATTTACAGATTAGTAGGCTCTACTCTGACATATGACTAACAGGGAAGCCCCTCCCTTTAACAGTTGTATGTCATCTGCTTCAGAGAACTAATTACTTGGCAATTCCCATTTGATAATTCCCTCTTTATTTTCTGATGAGTTACTTAACAGTGATGAGCTTGTTGGGCAGAATACTGTGCTTAATCTGTGCTTCAGAAACTACAGTGCAGGCCTGGGGATATCATTGTTTTAGAAATGCTATTTAGCCTTGCCATAGGAACATTGAAACACCACTAAGATGTGAACAGTTCACAGTTAACAGCTGAACGTGAGTGATGCACAGCTTTTGCCAAAAAATAAAGGAAGGGTTTAGATTACTGTTACACTGCGAACAGAATCTTAAATACATAATTTCTCAAAAAAAGACAAAACTAAACCTAATGTAATTTAGACATCAAGAAGCAAAAGCTTATATCTTCTGTGTATCATTGCTCCTCTCCACTGAAATAATCAATTTAATGGAATTTTTTTTCTTTTAAAAAACCTACTGTTTCTTGTAATACTTATCTGACAGTTCAGCTGATTCCTGGTGATTATTGTGTTCTTTTAATATGAGACAGATAAGTTTTTACCGTG